GAGAAGATTAAATTATTTTGATATTAATTAATTTTGAGGTACTTATTTACAACAATGAAACTGATGGTGTAGTGGTTGGATGTTTGATGAATGTGAGAAGGTTCCTGGGTTTGAATCTTGGAGGGGCAATTTTTTAATTGTTTTTTCATATGAATTTCAAAGAATATTGACATGTCACTGATTAAATAAAAAAAATCCACATGGACGCCATATATGAAGATTCCAATACACACTAAATCAAATAATGCGAAAAGGGTGTCTGGAAAAGGAATCTGTATTTTATAAGGGGGGAATCACAAAAAAAAAATTCTTAAGGGGGTGATAAGTGCAAAATTGTAGTTATTTTGTATATACTTTTTTTGCACTTATCGACTGTTTGTATTTAATATCAGTTGAATAACCCTGTTTTTTGTTGTAAATACGTTTAATTGTGTTTTGTGTATATATTGTATCGGTTGATTAGTTTTGTATATATTTTGTAGATATTTGAGCATGGTTGGAGCAATGAGGAATAAAAGCTCAAAGATGCATTTTTAGATCAATAAAGGAATAAGCCGAAAGATTGGAGCCATTGGAAGTTATGCAGAGAAAGCAACAAAAGTTGCTGGAACTGTCATGCATCGCGGGGCGAAATGCTTGTCGCTGGGTGATAGTGGGCGAGAATGGGCCAATTTTGATGTTGCCCCTGTCTTACTTCACGTCTAGGTCGCCAGGCGAAAATAAAGAGAGTCGTCGGGCGAAGCATTGTATCGTTGGGCAAGGTTAGATATTTGTTTCAGTTGAGGGTGTGGCTTATCCCGAGCCTTGTATTTAGTAGGGGTGTTCGGCGGTTTGGGCGGTTTTGAAGAAAAAAATCACCCGAACCGCAAGAGAAAAAAACATGCGGTTCGGTTTGGTTCGGTTGGATTTTAAAAATAAATCCGAACCAAACCAAACCAAACTAATGCGGTTTGGATTGGTTCGGTTGGTTCGGTTTTTTATAAAAAAAATTATTAAGTCATACATACAAATATAGAGGAAAATATAATTTTGTGTTTAATTGTTCATACATTACCATAAAAAAATTTATAATTGTCAAAATAAGTTTATAATTTGATACATAAAATTGCGTATTATAATTTTATCTAAATCTAAAGAATGATATAAACAATATTGCATTCTTAAATAAATATTATACAAAGAATACGATAAAATATATTTTGTGAAAATAATATTTATAAATGAATAATGTTTTATTTTTTTATGATTTGTAAATTAAAATGAATATAATACAAAGTATGATAAAATATACACATAATACATATTGATTTCTCTAAAGAATTAAAAAATATATATTGGTTAGTAAGATTTTATAACATAATGCGGTTTTGTTTGGTTTGGTTCGGTTTGTAAAATATAAACCGCAAACCGAACCGAACCGTGCGGTTCCGCGAGAAAATGACCCAAACACATCCGAACCAAATGCGGTTTTTTGCGGTTTCGGTTTGGTTCGGTTTGGTTTTGCGGTTTTCTATTGGGCCGGTTTGGTTTTGAACACCCCTAGTATTTAGGAACCGTCGTCGGGCGATTGTTTTTATGTCGCAGGGCGACGCACATAAATCAAAATTTTGTTATATTTTCCTTTTCATTTCATTTGGAAGGTGATGGTTTTGGGAGTGATTTTTGTTCTCTCAATTCCATCAACCTCATTTTTGTAGTGGATTAGCTTAGATAACAACATTAGGGCTTTGCTTATGGATGATTGAAGGTGGATTTCTCATTGACCGGCGCTGACAAACCGAAAGATTTGTGGTTTATCTCTTCTCCTATCTATGTATTTATCTTTTGTTGGATTTTGTATGTATTTCACTTTGAACTTATGTATATTTGTCGCCCATGGCGTTATATTAAACTTGCTTTACAAATCTTTGTGGATTGTTGTTTTAGAATTTTGCTATGTCTTAGATTCTTATCTAAGATGATTATCTGTTAGTTTATGAACTCTAGAGATAGATTTAGAGTTGACGTCTACTTGAGTATCAGAGCTTAATGCCTCTATGTGATTGTGTTGTGCTGAGAAATCGTCAGCGCGATTACATAGTTGTCTTCTGTATTGTTGAGGAGGTAAATAGATCATTTCCTTGGTGATACAGTCGGTCTCTCAATTTGGGTTATAAATGACTTAGGTTATGAGTGATATGTAGTGACATTGATGAGTACTGCTAGGTTGAATGTAACTAGTCGGTAGATTTAAGCCTGTGATGTGTAGATTATATGCATGCTTGATAAGTTTTTCCTTAATTTTTTCCTTTTTATACATTTATTTTCTGTTAAATACTTTTCTATACATTCATCCCCAAACTCATTAACCTAAATATCACTCAGTAAATTAATAATTACTTTTTGTTTGCTGCCGCTTCAGTTGAAGATAAATTAAAATACACTAATATGAAAAGATAAAAACATTTAACCCAAAATTTTATTAATATTTAACTTTCAATTACTTAGACAACATAATATTTATCTTTCAATTTTTATACATTTATATAATAATATTTAATTTTCTAAATTTAATTTTACACTTATCTACTTAATATATATTTAATATTGTCATGATGACAACCCTATCCCCAATTTTACCTCTCTGATTTCGTGTCATCTTGAAAATAATTCTTACGTAACTCTAATTTAATTTTCTCTTTTTTTTCTTTCATTTATTTTACATATTTCCATGAATATTAAAAGTATTATTAAACATGAATATTATAATTAAAAAATAATTATTTTAAAATAAAAAATGACATATCTTTCGTAAAGAATATTTAAAATTTATAACAATTGTAAAACTTGTATTTTAAAATTAAATAGTAAAGATATTGAATTTTGACAGATGTAATGATTTTATGTGAAGAATTAAAAAAAAAAAATCTAAAATTCTATATGACATTATGTTGAATTTAGAATAAATAGAGTATGTTACATAGGAAAAATAGGATTAAGGTTGTATCCAAAATTATCATCATAATAATCTTAAATTTAAATTAAATAGATTTATAAATACATATCTTTCCATATATAACCTTATATTGTTTAATTATAATTGATAACAAAAAAAATATATTTTAATTAATCCAAAATTACGTAATATAATGATTAATTATGTTCTAATTCCGTACTAATTTATAATTACTACCAATTGAGACATGGAGCTTCAAACTCAAAAGATACATTTTCAGATATTTTGATTGTTTGTTCAAATCTGATATATATATATATATATATATATATATATATATATATATATATATATATATATATATATATATATATATATATATATATATATATATATATATATATATATATATATATATATATATATATATATATATATATATATATATATATATATATATATATATATATATATATATATATATATATATATATATATATATATATATATATATATATATATATATATATATATATATATATATATATTCTTAAAAATATTTTTTATTTTAAAAAGTTGTTGTAAAAATTATTAAGGGATTGTTTAATTTAAAAACAAAGTTGTTTTAAATAAATATTTTTTATTTGATTTTAAAAATTATTTATTGGATTTAAAATAATATTTAAACAATCAAATCCAATGAATTTTTTTGTTGGATGAATGAAATCTATCCATAGCTTTTAAAAATGGATGGATTGGTTCATATCCGTTAACTAATAATTTTTATAATAGATAAATTAGATAGATTATTTAGTGGAGAAACTAAATGGATTTTTTTAATGGAATTTAATTGCCACCCATACCGACATTGTTTTCCTTGATTCACGCTAAAATTTTAAATTCAATAATTTTAAAACTAAAATATCTAATTTGTTTTGCAGCATTTGAATTCTCAAACTCAAAATAGTGATTTGTTCATCTTTAATAATGGACATAATGAATGAGCATTTCAATGTTCTTAATATTACTTATAGTACATAGAACAATATTATAAGGGTTAGTTTGGTTTAATGGAGGGGGAGGAGAAGGAAAGAAAAAGGAGGGGAGAGAAATGATGTATTATTAAATGCATATTTGGTTCATAAGAGAGAGAATTTTTAATCAAAAAATATGTTTGTTTCATATAAGAGGATGATTTTTAAAACTAATTTATTTTTTAACCCCTAAAATATTATAACTGTCATGCAATATAAAATAAAAACAAGTTGATATTTACAACCAAAAAAATTTGTCAATTCATAAATAACATAGATAATTAAATATTAAATATTAAATATTTTAAATACTATAAAATATATTAAAACGTAAATAAATATTGATAAATTTCATATAATAATTATTTGATTCATGATAAGATGAATCATGTTATCATCTCGATGATCCATCTAATCCTATAAAATATTTATAAAATTTAATTCTAAATAATATATATAGCTCATATACTATAATTATATATAGATATGTAATAAAACACAATAACTTATAAATAATTAAGTTCTTAAAATAATAAATAAAAATGAACAAAATAAAACATATGAAAAAATAAAAAAAATTGAGTCAACATATTAATAAAAGTAATGGATCGGCCGCAGAAAAATATGAAAGAATTCTAATAAAAAGACAAAAATAACGTAATATTTATTAAAAATAATTTAGAATAAGAAATTACTCTTAGAAATATCTAATTACCTCCGATTCTCTCATCTCCCCCACATAAAAAATTAAACTAAACATATTCAACTTAAAATATTTTCTATCCTTCTTTAATCTCCTCTCCAAAAACCCCAATCAAACGGACCCTAAAAAAAAGATTAATTTAATCTAATATATGACAAATATGTCATTCAACATTTTCTAACAAAAAATGAATATTAAATATCTTATGAATATTTTCGATGCGTGTTTCAAGTCAATCGTCTTAATTAGGTGCAAAGGCAAGTAATAGTTCAATGTATAAGCCTTTCACATTTTGAGGAATTCGAAATGATGGAATTTTTTCTATATGATGGAATTTTTTCTATATGATGGAGAACGACAAGAGAGAGCAATAAAAGAAAGTTTGGAAACTTTGAGAGTGATAGAAAATCAAAGTGGGCTTAGTGAAAAAATGTTCATTAGTGGCAACACAATTGGATTGGCAGACATAGCTTTGGGTTGGGTTGCACATATTCTACCAGTGATGGAAGAGATTGTTGGAGTCAAGTTCATTACAATTGATGCATTTCCTAATCTTCACTCTTGGATGAAGAATTTCTTGGAAATTCCTGCTGTAAAAGACAATCTACCACCACATGAGCTACTTGTTGAGTATTATAGGGAAAAGAGGAAGGTGTTTCTTGCAATGGCTTTTCATCATCATCACCACCACTAGAATTGTGTTTTTGTTTGATATCTATAATGACTAGGTGTTTCTTTCTTTCTTTTTTTATGCAATTCATCTTTAAGAGAGTAATATTATGTAGAACGATTTTTTTAAACTTTTTGGTAGTATTTTATTTAAGTTTTACTATTTTTTTTGGCTTAAAGAATGCAAAATACCTTAGACAAATAGGAAATAATAAGTGACTCAAAGGCCACTAGTATGATACATGTATCAAAATCATGGTGCTAATGATTTATAATGTAAAATAGAAATATATTTATGTTTTGTAAAAATCATTTTTTTCTTCTTATGTCTCATAGATAATTGAACATATTTATTTTGCCAGCATTTTTTTAGGCGGGTCAAAATTTTAAGTCTGCATTCTCTAATATGTCTGTCTCATCAATTTGACTTATATTTTTTATAGATTTTTGCAGGCATGGACTTTAACATAATTTTTATAACTTTTAGGCTAAAAAAGTGAAGTGTGTGGCTCTGCCCTGTCCACCCTCATTTTTTTGTGATGTGAACCAATGTTTCAAGTTTGTGCCATACATAATGTTTGCTCGCCCCCACTCTGTTTTTTTGTTGGCATTTGTAGAGCAAGCCTAAACGGGGCGGACATGTCTGTTTGTGACCCCTGCTCGCAAGTGTCATTAGGACGACAAAAATGGATGTATGTTTTGTTACAACCTTTTCCTCCATCTTCGGAATAGCTTTTCACTTTGGTTTTTGACATTGATCAAAACTCGTTAGAGATAGGGCCATTGGGCCGTCAAAAAGCTCTTGTGGAACACATGTCTTATATGACAAAGGTGACTCTAACCAACTCAATGTTTACGACATATCGGAAATGTATGATTGAAGAAGAGAAATTGTCATTGAATGTTGGTATTTGTAGTGTTATACTTGTGAAGGTTCTATAGTAGGGCACCCTCGCCTAAAAAGTTGTATCAACCATGTGACATCTTGAGGAATCACCCAAAGGTATTGATAACGTGTAAAGATGTTAGACAAAGGAGATAGAGTTCTCCATTACACCTAGAAGATAGGTGGTCAATAACTCCTCTTGACAGGGGTTACCCAAAGCCTAGGCCCAAAAGGCCTCTATAAATGTTTCTCCTCCCATGGAGAATGGACAGATTTTAAGTCATACACATAATTACACCCTAAAGTTATAGTGCTTATCCAAGATCATCTCTCATATGATCACACCCCTCAGAAGCTTATACTTAAGAACATTATTCATTAATAGGGCCTCTCACCTCACGTGAGCAATGTCATACCCAAAAAATTTCCCTACCCAAACTTAGTGAAAATCATAGCTTCAAATAAATCAATTTACCTAACTCCAAAGGGGGTGGAAAGATTTTATCTTTCAAGTCATAAGGTAAAGGCTAAGTCACCGAAAGAATGGCTAAGACTCAAATGGGTTAGAAAATGATAAAAATTATTATGCACGAGTGGTTTACAAGACCGTATAGTTTTCATAAACAACTACCTTTATGTGTGTCTATCATATCAACTTATTGAACAACAAAAAAATGAAAAATCCAGATATTACAAATGCATGGATACACTCATAAAATAAAGAGAAAACAATGAAAATATTTGGCTCAAATCTCACTTGTTTAGGTATTTGGAGGTTGAGTACCAACATTGGCTTCCCTTTTCTTCCTCAATCATCACTCCGCAAAGTCATTTCCTCCTCAATCACTTCTTGTGTCTGCTTTTCTATTCATGAGTAAAGTAGTAATTAAACCAAAAAAGAAACAAGTGCAAACATAATTCATTAATCAAAGTGGACTAAACAATACAAAAGTTAGGGACGAGCAATTGTAGTAGCTCCCCCCCTTTTCTTGACTTGGTGCACAAATGGAAATAAACAAACAAAAGGGAAATAAAAAACAAAACTAGTTTGTTAAACTAGAAACTATCATCAAGTAGAGAAAAATCATAAAGTCGATCAATGTTTTCCTGAAGTTGTTGATTCATCCTAGCCCAAATAGTCCTCATCTCTACCCGCCTATGCTCTAAGGCTTGATTCTGCTCCATAAAATATGACTTCATTGTTGCTAAAGTGGGAAACCTATCCTTTAGATTGTGGATCAGTACATGATATATATGTTGGTCATAAAAAGCTTGGTACCTGGCCCCAAATCTCAGGGTATCAGTGTACAAATGTGGCGAAGCTTCATGTGCCCAAGTGGTAATGCCCAAGGCGGGTTCTTTCAACAGGTGCATCTGTGCATGCTACTATTGCTTGCTTTGTTGGCCTTCTTCGGCTTATTGTTGCACTTCAGGTCGATAAACATCTTTATCTCTTTATTTTGCTTGGCCTCTGACTGGATGAGGTGTGGTGAGGGTTTTGCGGATGGAACTTGTTGTTATTGGTAACATATGACTGATCTTCACATCATCTATATGAACAGGTACTCCAGCTAACCTGCATAACTCAATAATAATACAAAAATGCCCCATAGTAGTGTGGGGAGAGTCAGTCATAAATTTGATATTCCTCGCAATATGTAACCCCATATTTATTGGTCTGTCGCACATAATTGCCATGAGAGCATGACACCTGCTTATATTCAGCTTTAACTATGTGGACACAACTTCAAGTGTTTGAATTAAAAAAGAGGCCCAAGCTTTAGGAATGTGCAACATTTCTCTAATCTTAAGCTTAATATGCTTACCATGTGCTATTATCCACTCTGCCCGTGGGTGGCAAAACTTAGCCAACATCATTTCCCCTGAGCATCAAACATATGATGATTTATCCTTTATTGCACATTATAAATGTGAATTGAGTTGAGACGAAGATAAGAATTTATAGTGCTTGGAGAATAGTCAATAGTTTTACCTTACACATAAGAAGATTAGTTGTCACTTGAGAGGTTGGTCGCGTTAGCATAAAACCCAAACCGCATTGACTAATTTTCCTTTTTGATCAACTTATTCAAGTATGTACACCCTCTTGTTTCTAGAGTTGCGATTAATTCTTCATAACCAATGAGGTTTTCTAAATCAAACACACACTCTTTCACCACTTTGTGCTCTTTGATCTGCAAAACTTTCTCAGCACTTGTTTCTGATACAAACAAGTATGATGGATATGTTGGGGAAGCTTGAAAAGGTGAAAGGTTAGATGAAGCGAGGGGACCAGAGGTACAACTTCTTTTTGGAGGGGCCATAGTATCTACAACAAAGATAGCAAAAACACAACAAAATTCAAAGAAATAGTGCATTATTAGAGAGAGAAAAGAGAGGGAAAGGGTTTGGATGGGGAAAAAAGTGGTTGAAAGCCTCTTTTATAGACCGTAATCGCGCGTAACGCGCCCGTGTTGGCCAATGGTCAAAAATACAATGGTAAAAATTCTTACTGCATGCGACAACGTCAGCAGGAAATGTACCCGCGTCAACAGGTCACGCGTCCGCTCCAATAGGAAACACGTCGCGTAAGCAGGTAGTGCGCCCACGTGAATTCTAGGAGCAACTTACTTTTTCCTGCTCAGACTTTAGGATTCTCCCTTCTTCTTCTTCTTCTTCTTCTTCTTCTTTTACTTGCAACTTATTTTATCCTGGTTAGCATTCTTCACAATCAGCAAACAATTTAAAAACATAAATACTCAAATGATAGAAAAATACGAGAAATTTGAAAATTAACGGAAATTGAACTTTATCTAAACGAAATTTAAATAAAATTACTAAACTATGGGTTTCCTTCCATGCAACGCTTGTTTAAGGTCACAAGGCTGACTATAGATCCTAAGGCTCTACGAGCACCAGAGATAACCTCTCTGATGCTTTGTCAACTATGGCAAGTTCCTGAGCTCCTTGCTCTTAACAGTGAAGACTTGTGAGTTTCCTAGATATTTCATTGTGACACTTCCATATGAATAGATCTTCTAAATTATGTAAGGCCCAACTGCCTTACGTATGAACACACCTAATAGACCTTTGAGTCTAGATTTCTGCAATCTGACTTTCTATCCTACTTTCAATTTTTCTTTTTCAGTAATTTTCTTCTGGAGTGATCACAGTAGTTTATTGACCTTGTAGCATTCAAGTTTCTTCGTTGATTTGAAAACATTAAAAACCATTTTTTATTTATTGAACCTCAACGCCAACTCACCCAAATCGACATAAATTTAAGGAGTTTCAGCATCTCCAAGCATGTCCAAGATGACAAAGTCTACCGAGAAAACAAGATCATCCATTTTCATAACACATCCTCCAGAATTCCATACAGAAAAGTAATAGATTTATCAGCTAAGGTGAGAGTCATATGAGTTGATTTTGGTTCTTCACAACCCAAATTTCTCATCATCGAAAGTGGCATCAGATTAATGATTTATCCCAAATCACAAAGATCTCGAGTGACTTAAACAGGACCTATAGAACATGGAAGTGTGAATCTATTTGAATCAATCAGTTTTGGTGGAATCTTCCTTTGTATGATAGATCTACACTCTTTCGCTAAAACAACATTCCCATCATCTCTCAACCTTCGATTACCCAAGAGTAAGTCTTTCATGAACTTAGTGTATTCCAGAATTTGATCCATAACTTCACAAAAGGTGATGTTCACTTGAATTTTTCGTAACATCTCCTTGAACTTTTTAAACTGATCTTCCTCCTCATATTTCTTCTTAGGGTTCTCTTTCAAGAAAGGGTAAGGTACTTTTATATAGTTAAGAAGTCATGGTTTTGGCTAATTCAAAATATACTTCTTGGTCCATCTCAATAGTGAGTTCTTATTTATAAATTGGTCAAGATTCCAACCCATAACCTCATCATTACTCTCTGACTCACTTTTTTCTCACTCATTTTTCTTTTTTTTCTACATCTGCTTCTATTACCCTCTCTTCTTACTTTCTTCCCTCTTCTTATCAACACTTGTTGATGTCTCTATAACTCCACCCCTCGACTCAATAGCACTGTGATTACCATTCTTTGGGTTACCCATAATATTACCATTAAATCCTCCACTGGTATTGGCTTAAGCT